GGGTGGGTGGGTGTGGGTGGGTGTGTGTGTGTGTGTGTTTGTTTGTTTGTTTGTTTGTTTATCTCCTGTACTTATGAACGTACATTCATGGTAGACATTGCATCGTTGCATGACATTACATTACATGACGTTTCGTTACACTGCATACACATGCGTGCTCATGCATGCCTGCAACAGCCTGCATGTGCGTGCGCGTACGCATGTCAAGGTGTTTTTTGGAAAGACTTGGTGCACCATTTTTCTGTTTTTGGCTCCTATGGCCAAGGCCCCGGGCCCAGGCGTTTGCAGCGTGGCTGCGCGCGAAGGGAACAGGGCCGGCCCGAGCGGCGCTTGGTCCCCTAAAGAGGCGGCTCTGCGCGGAGGCAGGAACCGGGAAGAGAGGAGGGGTCCTGTACATGGGATCCTCATTAAGGGTTTCTTTTGTAAGGGCTCGTTATAAGGACTGGCACACCGTAGTAGATCTTGGTGCCACTAGTTGGCATGCCCAGATGCTCACATTGTGGTGTAGTCATACAACCACTTAGGGTGGCTGATGCCTTTGCTGTCCAAAATGGGCAGAACCTGGGAAGGGGACAGTCCCCGAGGCTTCCACGGAAAGATCGGCAGTGACGTCCTGCCAGAGTTTTGCGTCCTTCAACCGGCAGTGATCTCTCGCGCTTTGATATGGAAAGTAGAACTCTCGGAAAATGAAGAATCCCGCGACGGAACTGACTCTACTCAGCTCCTTTAGCCCTAGCCCCAAACCCTCAAGCAGTTGCGAAAGGCCTCCACGACCCCACAAGACACTTAAGCATAAACTCATGCAGCCCCGAGAAAATTGGAGGTCCTCAATGCTTTGGAGGGCGGAGTGATGGATTTTCCCGGGCGCGTGGCCGGTGTCGACAGAGCTGCCCCTGGAGCCAAGCTGTAAAAGACGTGACGTGCATCTCTGAGGGCTTAGGGGTTCGCGTTTTGTCTTGAGAACGGATAGCTTTCGGTGCAGTCAGCAAAGCGTACAAGTCTTGCTTTCGGCCGGTGGGTATCGGTGGAGTTTCAGGGTGATGCCTGGGCTTAGGACCTACAAGGCTGAGAGCTTTGCAGTTCTGCTGGGCGCCAAGCAGAGGGGATGAACGCCCATGTAGCAAGTCTCAATGCACGTCTCACGCTGCAGCTGGCTCGAAGGACTGATCTGAGGCTACAAGTACCCTGTAAACGATCCCTTCAGTTCCAAGTCAAGGAACAGAACAAAATCCAAGGATCGAGATCGTCATGTCAGAGAGATGCACATACACCGTCATTGTCCTCAACCGTGGGAGCCCGAGGCCCATGGGCGAAGACGAAAGCAATGTGTAGTGGAGCTCCATGTAAGTACTGGGGCCTTTCCATCTCGGATGAAAATACACCTCGAGCATTGAGCCATGATGTGGATATTCCTTGTGCTTCTGGTGCTGCCTTCTGGACTTAGCAGCGATAGCTGTCCAGCAAACGGCCAGGCAAGGCGTGACCCATGTTCGCATCTCGGCCTGGGGAAGCCCGAGATGCGCTGAGGCCTGCAACCAGAGCGCCAAGAGGAAGGCCAAGTCTCCTCCCGCCCAAAACTGCTCGAAGCCATGATGCTCCCCAGGCTTTCTGGAAGAGCATGCGACAAGAAGGCGCCTTGGGCCATGCTGGTCTTGGTCTCTCTGTGCCCTGTCGGTGTCCTGTCGGTTCAGAGGCCTCGAGCTGAAGCTTCGCCGGAAGACAGTCGAGGAGAAGGCCTTCGGTGGACAGCCTGCCCACAACAGGACTGCAATGGCCAGAGCCTCAAAGCGGCGGTTATTGCTTGAGACCTTTCCGTTCCTGCTTCTTTGCAGGTCTTGTCGGACGACGTCTTCTATGGCCGTGCTATCATGAAGATCCCCCGCCAGGAGTGTAGCGCCTTGCGACAGCCACTCGTCCGGTTGAGGACGCTGCTTGCTGCACAGGCGGTCCTGACCCTGGAAACGACCAGAGAAGAGAAGCTTCGAAAGGAGCTGACGGGTTTCATGGCTGCAAGAAATTCGCTGTATCAACGACATTTCGTGGCACTACCAAGGCTTCCTATTCGAGAAGAGGCGCGACCTGGGATCTGGTGTGTGTTGCAGAAATCCTTGACCCGTAGGAAGCTGGAGATGCTCTACAACATCTCTAGCCCTTGGCCTGTAGATGAGTTTACGTAAGGTAGAGGAGGGAGCTTGTGTCGAGCTTGTAAGGTGAGGACTACACCCATCTACTCAGCTTGGCCTATCCGCTCATTGCGGAAAGACGGAATCCTGAGTCGGTCTTTCACGAGTGGTGCTCGGCCCAAACATGCGGCAGCAGATCTCCAGAAGTTGCATCAGAATACCCTTGAAAGGTTGAAGGCGACGGAGAATGCTTCCGTCTTCGCCTTGCAGCTTACGCATCGGTCAGGGGCTCTGAGGCTCGGAGATCGCTTTTTCAATTGACCTTGGCATTTTCAGGCAAAAGAAGGTGCTAACCGGTACCACCGTAGAGGATGCCATCCAGGTGCAGCTTGCCAATCTTGCCGCCACCCGACAGTTTCGTCATGCTTCCGTCAGGAGATGGCTTACAGGAAGCACTTGATCCTCGACACCGCATCCAACCTTACTTTCTTCAAGAAGATGCTTGGCCAGGCACGATCTCGGAGGTCGATTCCTACAGGCCTACTAGTTACTAGTACCAAGTCAAGTGATAACATGTGTGCTGATTTGTGCATCCAATGACAGAGCAAGGGAGCAAGAAACATGTGGAATCCAGGCCGGGATCAGACCGGTATGGAATGTGCGACATATCTCCGTGTGTGAGAGCCTAGGCGCCTGAAACGACTCAGAACGAGGAGTGCCACGGGGGACGTTTTCGAAAGGAGACCCAACCCTACAGACACAAGGAAAGAAGGAAACCGTCAGACGCGGAGAGAAGGGAGGCGCCACAGCCTCGCGCATGGAGACGCCAGGCCTTCCCTGTACAAAGTCACCAAGCAGAGACTGTAGTCGGAGATCACATCTGTACGCATTGAAAGACAGTTGGCGGCGCTTCTTTGCCAAACAGTCATACGAATAGAACTCAGGAAGTCAGTGACTCAAGCCGAAGCCGTCTGGGCGCTGGTAGCTTGACTCAAAACAAGTCTGGTTCCGATATCTCAATAGGTTCTTGAGCTGAGGCGGTGATTATGCGGCATGGTCGTGTGGTTCATCCATACCAAGATCAACGGGATGTCCGCAACCCGCGTGCCGCAGTCTGTACTTCCATGTAATCATCGGGTTTTAAGTAGCACAGCTCTGCGAAGCTGTTGTTCAAGGGCCTCAGTCGTCTGCTATCAATGTGCACTTTTGCCGAGGCATGTACATCTTCCCACTGCCAGAGCTGTTGGATGTCGCTATGCACGCCAGTCCCGGCGTGGCCATTAGTTTCCAAGAGGAAGTGATCATAGATGGAAAGCGTGAGCAGGAGTGTACCTCAAACTCGTGCGGGTAGCCTTTATGGTTTGTAGGGCTCTGCAGAATCTCGGCTTGGCAGTTCTACGTGCTTTGCCAGGACGTCGTGGTTCAGATCGCACGCCGCGACATGCCAAAGGGAGAGGAGATTTTCGTTTGGCCGGGGCGCCTCTCCAACAGCGAGATGATTGCCAGGTGTGGGGACAGGCTCGGTGACCGCTGAAAGCCGCATGTTCTCAACTTCGGGAGGCATGGCTTCAGCTTTCGCGAGAATCCAATCGGGATTGGCCGGAACGTTTCGCAGCCACCCAGCTGGAGCGAAAACAAGAATGCCAAGGGCCGGAAGGTGCGGTGCCGTGGCTCCAGAGTGAGCGTTCCTGCTGCTCGTCTCAGCCTGTGAGGAGTACGACCTCTACAACTGTTCCTCTCTGGAGGCTTTTGAGATGCGCTTCAGCGCTGAAGGCAAAAGGGACAGGATGAGCAAGTTCCCTTGAAAGGGTACCGGGGGCATGCCTTTGCGTTCAGTCTATGGGCACAGAGGTCCTTGGAGGTGACAACACACCTCCGGGTCTAGGTTTAGGCTGGAGTTGGGCTGTATGACATTTTTCCTTAGAAGCGACCCAGATGGATGCTGCTAAATGCCAGAGGCTATCCGATGCGAAACTTCGTGCGGTGTTACCGTGTCTCCTGGTTTATTACCAACGGTTGGTATTCGCCTGCACTCAAGAGCCGAATGCGGGAGCTGAACAAGTGGCCGCCACCTGAGAAATATACGAGCCCCGGCTTGAAATCTCGTGAACTGCTGTCTAGGATGATGAGCCTCAAGTTGGATCTAAGCTACAGATGCCGAGACAACCTGGACCAACCTTTCACATGAAATCTTAACAATTCCAAAACCCACGATACTAATAATTAATGGATGATGCAGGTTGAACTAGCTGTCTGCGACTGTGCTTTTGACTGTACCCTTAAATGCGGGCTCGTCCTAGTTAGGTAGCAGGCAAAATTTTGTTTTATTACAAAATTCCAAAAATTGCTAGCAATTCCAAAAGTTGTCCCAAAATTCCAAAACCTACAGAACTAGGCTAAGTTTTGGATTTGCGAAATTCCAAATTCTAAAACTTTTCTCTGAATATTTGCAATTTTGGGATTTTTCTAAGTTTTTGGAATATATATATATATACTTCTAAAATTTAGTGCGGCTGTTTTGTTGTATTTTTGGATGTTTAGAGTTTTGGTAATTTTTCACAATCTATAACTTCAAAAATTAGTGCGGCAGTTTTTTGATTTTTTCGAGTTTTGGAATTTTTGGTTCGAAAATTAGTATCCGGGTTTTGTAATTGTGGTTTTTAAAGATGTCATGTGAAAGGTTGGTCAGTATTACAAATAAAACCATATTACTACTAATATGGATATTAATAATATGAACACTTAATACTCTCACGAGTATGAATACTCACAGTGATACTACTAAGCATGAGTATTCATATTAATTACTATATTTGCATTACTAGCGATACTAGGACTAGCAATTAGAACTAATATGATTACTAATGTTCCTACGAATGCTAAAATCATAGGCTTGTTGATAGTAGTATTAGTATTCATATTAATATACATACAAATGCATATATCAACCGAATACATATATTCATAAAAGTATTACTCCTACGAATCGAATGCTCATACTCGTAGCCTTAGCTCAAGATTCGTATTCATATTTTTTGCAGGCACGTATGTTAATGTTAGTATTATTTCTTACCAGTATGTTTACTAAGATCAGTAGTATTCCTACCAATAAACATATTCGTATTCATATTAAAGTTCGCCGTAAAACGACAGTGATCTTGCATCCTGCAGTGCCCTGCCTTGTTTTGGGGCTTGCAGTCTGTGATGTAGAGGATCGTGAGCAGCCGAGTGTAGTAGGACCTGCTTTTGTGGAGTCGCTGGACACACCGCCATGCGGGAGCCAAAAATACTCACATATCGTTGATTATTCTCAATACTCATTAACACGAACACTAAGGCCAATACCATAATCCCATTCAGATTAATATTGATATTAATACTAGTTTATATACACACATATACTAATGTATACTAGTTTGCGTACTATTGCAATGAAATACCAAAACATGCACGCAACAATGCACTAAAGAACCAGTTCTTTCATATACAAATGTACCAATAGACTATTGTACCACCTATACCAATGAACTAAGATACTCATATGGTATAATGCTAATATACTTTCATCCGACTATACACATACACACACACACATATATATATATACTGATATACTGATACTAAGACTAAGACCAGTACGAAGACTAATGCTAGCACTACACTTTTATTATTGCTAATGCTTTATATACTTGTAATAAGACAAATACTAGTACTAATGATAATACTGACACTGACATTGAGATTTACATTGGCACCAAACTAACACTAACATTATCTTCGTCTCGACGAACGGTGAGCATGGAGACGGATGAATAGTCTCAAAGAAACTACCTAATCGCGATCGTGACATGTGCATTTCTGCTCCTTGTGTTGAAAGGAAAGAGCCTGAGCTTCACGAAATTGTAACATGTTTGTTGAGACTGTATTACGACTCACATAAGCTTAAGACCATACGAACCACCGCAGAATCTGTCGCTATTTACAGGGTTTCCGATATCAGTTCGCACCAACACAAGTACAGACATAGACATGATCACTTTCATGGCGGAGGTTGGTCCGGGGGGGGGGTTACTATATATATATATATAGAGAGAGAGAGAGAGAGATAGATAGAAAGACCTTGCACATATGTATACAAAAGCAAAAGCACAAGCACATGTGTGTAGGTATGTATGCATGTATGTATTAGCTGTATGTCTGTATGTATGTATGTATACATACACTGATTCGTCGAGCGCGAGTGCTAAAAAATGTATGTATAAATGTATGTATGTATGTATGTATGTATGTATGTATGCCCGAAACCTCGCCTGCTTCGACGAGTGCGAGTGCTAAAAATGTACGTATGTATGTATGTAACTGCTTGCTGGAGCCTGTGTTCGAAACGACCCTGGTGGCTGTGATTTCGTTGGCCAATGGCCACTCTTTGAAGTCTGGTTCCCCCCATACCTCGCCTGACTTGTCGAGCGCGAGTGCTAAAAAAACTGTCTGTATGTATGTATGTATGTATGTATGTATGTATGTATGTATGTATGTATGCGTGCGGCCCCCCTTTCATGAGGAAGTCTGACTGGCTCTCCTGGACTCAAGCCGATGCAGAAGTCAATCGTGCAATTCTGGAGTATTGTCAGTCCATGAAGCAGCAGCTCAAGGACTCATTCAGCTTGGGCTGAGCGTGAAGGATCATCTAGGGCTGTAGGGTCGAGGGTGTTCGGGCGCTGTTGGCTCCTGACTCACGTCCTCCACCGCTGAGCCGACTTATTCAGAGTAAGAGTTTTGACCGAGCTTTCTGCAGGACACGATGGATTCAGACACCGCAGAGGATTTCCGACACTCCAAGGACCCTGTCGATCGTGTGCTGTGGCACATGCGATCGGAGGAATCCCGCACCTTCAAGAATTGCATTGCCGTGGCGAAGAAGATAAAGATGTAGCAACCCCCGCACGTGCCTAAACAAAGCAATTGCAGTGCAGCCCAATCCCACCAACTTAACTGTGCCAGTGATGTTGCAAACATTCAGCTTTTTCAACCTGCACGCTCGCGAAAACTGCGATGACCCGACAAAGGGGGCATCACATGCATGCCGTTTCACAGGCAGAGGACCCCCCTCGCATGCATGGACCAACAGCCGCCTTGGCTTGCCGCCGCAAAAGTGACTCTCCTAGGCTTTGCAAGGCATGGGTCACGTAGAATTTGTTCCAAGTCGTCCAGGCGAGAGTTGAAACCCCGTCAGCTCTGAGCATTAGTCACCGAGTTTACCAGTCGTACAGTGCCGACGAGACCTGTTCAGAGGGAAGCTCTTGGATCCGAAACCCTGGAGTTGGGGCAGCTGCAGCTGTGTTTGGTTCGCAACATCCAGACGGCCATGGACATGCTGAGTCTGAGAGGCAGGAGGGAACGATTCCCTAAGCCAGTGCTGCCGAATCCCTAGACCCCTCCTTCCGACAGGCACAGTGGCCGCACAGCCCACAAGCTCGCGGCGAGGCTCGAGCGGAGTCTTCCTGATCAGTTCGACTTCCCCACTGAAATCAAGATCCCACAAGATGTCTGGAAAGATCGATCTTAGTCCAGTCCCCTTGCAGCATTTTGCAGCCAGCTCTCAAATAACTTTGCATCCAGATAGAATTCGTTTCCTTGTGTTTTTGAAGTTGAGCTGACTTGCACCGTGGGTCCATGACGGTCCCGGAGGTGCAGGTGCAGCATCGGCTGTCCAGCCACCGGCTCATGTACGTAGTGGCATCTCGACGAAGGCGGATCCGGAGCACCGCAGCTCAGAGAGAGGCAGCCCTACCGACCAAAATGCAGCCAGGCTCTCCCCCTGGGCCTTCTCGGCTGCGCGCTCTTGGCAAGACGCGCGCAGGCGACGGAGGAGTGCTGCTCTTGGGACGGAGATGGGGGAGGGAAGAGCGAAGAGCTGGAAGATGGCGAAGGCGCTGAGCCGCAGCCGCATTGGCCGAGCTAGCGCCGAGGTGGAGAGAAAACTGAAGGGAGTGCAAATTTTGCAGATAACAAAACAGCGTCACTGCTTGCGACTTTACGGCCGCCTCTGTGTGAAAGGTAGAGGAAGCTCCCAAACGGCTGAGAAGGAGGCGCAGAGTTCCTAAGTCAAAGCCACAGACGGAGATCACCTCAGACATGTGGCTCGGCTTGGGGCAGGGACCAGTCAAGTGCGCGCCGAGCGGCAGATTGGAAATGGGAACCCCGTCTTTCCATCAGAGGCTTACCCTGAACACCTGCAACTGCGATCTCATTCTGGACACTGTGCCTTACCTGCACATTGGACTGGCGGATGATATGAGGATCTCATTTTGGCAATTCTGCCTGTGGGCCATGCACGAGCAGGGTCTTAGGAAGGTCGCTCCGCTGTCCAGTCAAGGTGGTCGAGTTCGAGGACCTCCTTGCGCCTAACGAGGCACGTGCGCTGCTCGAAGCGGCCCGAGTCACCGCCGAGACGCACCCTGACTTGCACCGGCAGCTACTTGTAGTTTTGAGTCTCCGACAGCTCCAATTCTTCCCTGAGGAATGGATGGGGAGCAGCATCGTGGTCGCAGTCAGCCCACCTGGTCATGCGGCCGGGCAATGTTCGCTGTCTATCCGAGGCAACGCACGAGAAGTACGGCACGAAAGACCGGGCCATGAATCAAAGCTCCGCTCTAGAATTGCGATAGTTTGCAGTGCGTGCGTGCTGTGCGAAGCCCTCAAGTAGCGGCGTGTCCACGATGAGCATTGCAGAAGACAAGACAGTCTGCACTGTCTCATGCCTGATCGGAGATTGCCCCACCTCAACTCAGTGAAGGGTGCCAGTCAGGGGTCGTAAGTTGAAAGCAACAGGCCAGAAGCATCAACTTGCATCGCTGTCGTTTCTTGGGCCATGGATGCCTGGGCCGACGCTTTTGCGGTGCAGTCGAAAATAGCGAAGCGATGGCTGGTTTATACAACCAAGTCTCTGATCATCATCCGTGACCATCCAGACACTCGGCCGTAACCAAGACGTCATCAGAAACACCTACACCCTGCTTAAAGCCCTTTCCATGTGGAGTGCGTCGAATCCGAGGACTTTGCAGGCCAAAGATCGTCCGAGATCCAGCTGCTTGGGTCATGAATTCAACGGATCTTGGGAAGTTGGGGTGCAGCGGGTCATGGTGAGCAAATGGCTGTTCAACGCACGCAGCGCTCTCCTGAGCTTTACGTTTGCGTTTTTCTGTTCTAGTTGTGGCTTCAACCAGAGTCAGTGTCCGTCTTTGTGTGCCGATGTGTGAGAGAGAGAGAGAGAGAGAGAGAGAGAGAGAGAGCAATGCTTGAGCCTCACCACAGGGGGAGGCAGGGAGGCCGTGGCTCGGGGTGTAGGATGAGTTTCTGTTTCAGGTTGGAGTTCTTTCGGGATCTTCTGGGGGTTTGTCTTCGGGGGTTTCAACCGGAGGCTCAACCGCACCCTGCGCGTAGAGTACCTGTGACCCTGTCCACGTAAAAGAAGGGGGATACTATGACCTGC